CAGCCCACTTCCTCGGAAGTCCACGAAAGCTTATGCTCTAATAAATTTGTTAGTCTCTAAGGTGCCACAAGTACTCCTGTTCTTCTTTTTGACTTAAGAGGGTTAGGGCTAAATTTGTGATCTGGCACCCATGGTGGGCTTAGCCCCACAGGTTTTCAAGACAGTGCCTGGGGGGAGTTTAGCCACATGGATTTCCATCTACATAATGGCCAGGCTGGCATTTAACCACCGGGTGTTTTCAGTGCAGGGGCCAATGGCTTTAATACAGTGCTACCCTGACAATAGTGCCTTCTCCAAGAGAGGGGTCCTTTGGTTCCTCCTCTGGATGGCTCCCCATTTAAAACTTGAGTTCAGGCACAGTGAGCAGCTCCAGAAATAGCGGGTGCTTATCTTCCCCGTCTGATTACTGGACATTCTGAGCTAAACTGTGAGCAGAGGGAATACAAATGTTGGCATTTTTAATAAAGGAGCAGCCTTTTTTAAAAAAAGAATGATATTTCCCAAAGCATAATATGAACCTAAAGGAGAGTCCCTTTAGGAAGAACTCATACTGCACTTTACCATTTCAATGAACCCCCCCTTTTCCATAGTCCATTCTCTCAAAGGCTCGATTCTGCAGTCAGTAGAGGTTGAGGGCCCTCAGCACCTTGGACTCTTGGATTTTGGGGGTCTCCATGTTTGAGGTTGGCTGAAATTCTTCAAATTTCAATTAAAAATGTCATCAAAATCTGACTGGGAAAAAATGGGGATGGTGGTGGAATTTGATAACATATTGGTGACTCCTGTTTTTTTGACCAACTATGGAACAGGGTGAAATGTTTTGAATTTCAAATGCCAACCAGAAAAGTGGGGAAATGTCTACTCACAAAACAGCTGATTTCTTTTTTTCCCCTCCTGTTTTCCAGCCAATTCTAGAGTCCAACTTGAGACACATTGGTGCCAATTTCCAGAGCTCCTGAGCTTCTGCAGACCTTCAGTTGGGATTGTGGGTGCTCAGCACCTCTGGAAGCCAGGCCCACAGGGTCTCGTATTGGGCACCCAACAGTGTAGGCCTCAGTTTTTACTTAGTCCCCACCTAAAGATCAAATTGCGGTCAAGTTTAGCACATGCCAGCTTATCCCAGGCTCAGCTCAGCCACTCTTCCTAGTCAAGATAAACCCAGGGTTGCCAGCTATCACAGTTGTGTTGCAAATCTCATGATTTTTGGTGTTTTCCATAAAGCCCCAGCTCTTGGAATCATGTTGTTACTTGCTAAACGCACTTAAAACAAAAACAACAAACAAACTAACTAACCAAATTAAGTGTCTAGCCCTCATGATAATGGAGAAAAGCTTGAAAACATGAGCACTCAGGGCTCAAACACCACAACGCAAATGTAAAGAACCCCAAATTTATTATTTGTATAAAATGTCATGATATTTCAGCCAATCTCGTGATTTTTGGGGCGGGCACCTGATTCTCAGTTTTGAATTTAGGAGTTGGGAAAAGTTCAGTCTTATTGGGGACAATTGGTGTTTGTTTGCTTCAGGGCAGTGTAAAAACTGATTGAGACTCTTCAGAAGAACCAGCTGCTGCTGAAAGCTGTGGAGGTGGAATGCAAGCCCATTTCCTGCCATGTTTGAACTTGGAAAAGCCATCAAGAACCAAAATGTGTTGCTCATTGAGGCCTAAGAGGGCCTGAAATCAGTGCTCTGTTGTGATGGGCTTTCCATGAAATGAAGGGAGAGATTACTTAATAGAGGGGAAATAAAACCAGTCAGCCGTTTAATTCTACCTCTGTCCAACCAAATGGCATGCGGTGGGGGAGTTGGCTTCAGCATCTGGGCAGAACCATCAAAAGCAGACACAGCTGGATGCAGCCAGCCCATATTTCCTCACAGCCCAGGGATAGTTTCTTTAAAGCAGTCTTGGTCAGGCTGCGCCCTGTACTCTCCTGGGATGGGATACCCAAGCTAGTAGGAGAGGTGATCAAAGCAATGGTGCATTGTTTCTTTGCTGCCTTGAAGACTTGTAGTCAGTGAGGATTCAGACAAGACAGGAGAGGGGGCTCAGACTGCACCTCTGCTGTGCTGGGTGCTGCCATGTCTTGGCAGGTATGAAGCTATTAGCAGGGCTCCCCCTGCACCAGAATGCACCGTTAGCCTTAGGGGCTGGAGCATGCTCATTGCTTAGGGGAGGGGAGAACCAAATATCGGTATGCTCTGGGGAGCCCCCATTTCCCCTCATCTTACCTGTGTAGGAGCCAGGCAGCTTATGGAAATGTCCAGCAGGGCTCCTGGGTTCTACTTGCTTGAGGGCAAGCCCAAGCTTCCTGGGCACACAGTGCCATTGGGCAGCAGGCACTGGGCGAGAGCATGCTGCGTACCCAGTGCTACTTCCCCAAGCCAGGGGGCTTCCCCTTTGCTAGAGAAACATGCTTGTTTTCAGTGTGAATCACCCTTGTCACATGCCTCAATCAAACGGTGGGGAAGTCTGTCAAGTCCAACAATTGCAGCTTTGTGAACATGAGACTCACCAACTTCCCAGCTCCAGCAGCTTCCTACATCGCTAGTCAAAGGGGGCGGGGGGGGACTGTTCCTTAGCACTGGGTTCTGGGCTTGGCCCTGTGTCAAACTCCTTCCTCCTGCTCTCAAATGTTCTTCACAAAGCTTTAGGATAAATTGATGTTGGCTTTGAACTTTGTTGGCTGTCTGGGCCTGGTTAAAGGCCAACTTCAGTGGGCTTTGGCTCAGGTGTAATGTTCCCCCCGTCTTGATTCAGACAAAGGTTAGAAGCCGTTTTATTTACATGGCCTAGTGTCCCAGTTGTAGCTTCCTCTATGATGGAAGCAGAGCCAGGATGGTCTTATGATTAAGGCTCTGTACCAAGACACAGGAGAAGGGGGCTTTAGCCCTGGCTCTGATACAGACGTATATGTGGTATTGGGCTATCACTCAGACTGCATCATTACTGGATGTCTTTTTAAGAGCTATTCTGGAGTCCAACCACCAAGTTATTAATGCGGAAATTGCTGGGTGAGATTCCCTGGGTGAGGAGCTCAGAAAAGATGATCGCAATGCTCCTTTCTGGCCTTAAAATGTGTGTGTTGCAAATATCCTTCCCGAGCATCAGATCCATTTGGGAGCACAAGGTCAGGCCGAAACGCTTTTGGCTGCAGCCTCTGATAATGCTCGGTGCAAAGAAGAATGAAAATGTTAACGGTATTTATGGGACCCACCAAAAAGCAACAATGGCGGTAGTTAAAATTTGTACTTTGAATGCTTAATAATCCGCTCTCCACGCCATTGTTTTTTCAGCTTTACATCATAGCAGAGTAGAGCAATGTGCCAGCGGTGGGGGGGAGGGGTTATATGAAAAGTGTATCTAGCATCTTGCCGTAGCTGTGCGATGTATTTAAATGGTTATGTTATCACTTTAAAGACCTGTCAGCCTCGGTGTATTGAACTACAGCACCTGCCCTTCATTCCAGCTGAAAGATAAATAAACAGCGAGGAGACTTGGCAAATGACTTCATGCAGAGTTGTTTTCTTTGGCATGCTGGTGCTAAAAACTGACCATGATTGTAAAGTGTGTGGGGTTGTGTGAGTGTGAACATAGGTAGGGGAGCTCAGTTTCCCCATCCTTAAAGGGGGGGACAATAATCCTTCCCCGGAGGGGTTGTGAGCCCAACTTCATTAGTACAGCTCTACCCTGATATAATGTGACCTGATATAACACGAATTTGGATATAACGCGGTAAAGCAGTGCTCCGGGGTGGGGCGGGGGGCTGCACACTCGGGCGGATCAAAGCAAGTTCGATATAACGTGGTTTCATCTATAAAGCAGTAAGATTTTTTGGCTCCCAAAGACAGCGTTATATTGGGGTAGAGGTGTATCTGTAACACTGGATAAAAGGCATTGCAGATGAGTAGTCTTAATTGTTGTTTTCTTCTTGGTTTGAATGTCCCCCTTTAAAACCATTCTCAATGTAGGATTCATCAGCATGGGAAGAACCTGTGAAATGTGACCACCTGACGGGAGGGACACAGCGACAATGCACTGAGCAGTGTTTCAATGACACACACTTGTTTGAAACCCCTCTCCCCCAAAAACAACTCTTCACGTGGGCCGCCAAAGAGCCGTAGGATGGTCAAGGATTTCGCCTCCAAGGCAGTTACAGAGCGATGCTGAACGCAACGCAAAGGCTCCGTATCCCTCCCTGAGCCACCGGCGCTACTTAACGGGAATCTGAAGGCAATGTTCCAAATGTGGCTGTCAACGTTCGGGTGTGGGTGGGGTGACTTCCAGGTGAAAATACAAAATTAGAAGCTGCAATCCCTGTAGATTAAAAACCAGCCAGACGTGAGTTAGTGCCTGGAAGCGAATGGAAAGGCCGCTGCGCGTCTGTTACACTCATCTTAGTGCTGGGGCGGAGGCAGGTGAGAGCATGGGGGCTCTCTGGACGCCCAAGGACCATGCCCTGCAGCCACAGAAGATGGGCCACAGTCTGCTCTCTGAATGGCCTCTGTAAACCCAGAGCGATTCAGCTAGAGGCAGTCGGGCGTCTCTGGATTTGCACTGGTGTTAGTGACAGCAGAATCTGTCCCAGTAAATCTAGCTGCTC